GTTATCCCTGGCTTATACATCATTCCAGATCTGCTCAGAACCTAGTTATAGCAGACAGGGCATAAGGGAGCGATGACTCATTCTTGTAAGTGATCAGGCGTCTTTTCACCTGTATCTCTGCTCTTCACCATAAGGTTTTCTTTGTCTGTACCTCTGAGGAAAGTTTGGGTAAAAGGCCACTATAAAACCGTCACAGGTTGGACATAAATGTATAGGAAAGATCCGAACTAGACTAGCGTATATTTCATACAAAGTACAGTGCGGACTCGTTGTAACGATATTCGATATAAGGATATTAGCCTCATAACCCTGTCTTCTTCGCGCACACAATACGTTCTTAAAGTAAATATAACAAATCAACGAGACTCGTTATACCGATGTCGACGTCGCCATTTTATCATGATATTGAATAACTGTCACATGATGTCACCACTGTCATCGACTGAAGCCTGAATATATATAGTCCAGTGCCTTCCGCAGAGTGAGTTCACGCATTTAATAGCTGGGTGCGTGTCACAAAATTCTTTGGAAAAGCACAACAAGTCTGACCGAAAGGGAATCATGTGATTCGACTAAGTTCCCCCTTCCACATTGTTTATTTAATTTATTCTTCATTCAATACAATCTGAAAACATGAGAGTTGAAGGGAGACCGGTAGCCATGTATAATTTAATCTTCAAGCGCAGGATGATAAGATCCTGGCTATCATTTGCCTTGGTGGGTCTGTGAGGGCGCCAACACGTCGGGTAGTTTAATTTAGACTGGGCTAACCGACACGTGAGGAGCTCACTTGCTGTGCGCGGGCACAACGTTAAGTATTACAAGTAAATGAAATAAATCTAGTCCAGTGCCTAATCATCAAGGTATAGATCACTGTTTCCTAGTTTAATTCCGAGTATGTCATGCACTTCCCCACACGACTCATTAGGCCTGGTAGGAGTCTGGATCCACCTCATGCAAATATAATCTTAAATGGCGACTAAGATTACAGACACGACGACGAGAATTTTGGGGTAGAAGAGGAGGAGGTCACGCTTATGGAGATCATTGCTGCACATACTATGCCACAGCAGCAGGCAGAGCTTAGAAAAAGGCAGGAGACACTAGATAGCTGGTTTACATAAAGTGTAAGGATTCTCCTCCCCATCTTAATTTAAGTATATAATTTTACCTGTCACGGTTCGGGTGTCGATGCTGGAGCAATCAGATATACGAAGGTAGTTTATAAATTTCTCTATGGCTAACTATCAGAGTATTACTTCAACTATTTATACATTTATGAAGATCTCTAGAATACTCGTTCTTGGCTGATATCTGCTTCTTGTATATTCCAGTTACAGCTGAACTAATCTGGAATAAAGCTAGACTACTGTAGAATTATAGAAGTACGTGAATACAATCACGTGCCACACAGCAATCGGCCCACAAGCCGTTACATGACCCTCCTCCTGATGTAGCTATGATAACAGTACAGCTCTTGGCACTTGGTATTGTGTTGATACTGATTTGAAGCCTATGTTATTTTAAGCTAGCAGAAGCAAAGCGGGTATATGTATGATGGCTTGGTCTGTTGAAACTGAGTTGTCTACGCTAACTTTTCTGTCACAACCACCATCTTCGGATCACCTCTGGTCACCTCTAGTATCTTTAGTTACCATTTCAGTTCAAACGCCTACGCTCCATTCTGACATAAAACATGACACAGAACGATATCAAGATTGATGTGCGAGGAGGCGTGAAGATTTCATTATATGTTTTTTAGTCTACCGGACATTAGTTACAACTAAAGCCCCATCTCTGAGGGGACATGTTGACTAAAGTTATCATTTACTTTTTATTTACTTATAATATTTAACGTCGTGCCCGCGCACAGCAAGTGAGTTCCTCACGTACCGGTTAGTCCAGTCTAAATTAAACTACCCGACGTGTTGGCCCCCACACAGACCCACCAAGGCAAACAATAGCTAGGATCCTATCATCCTACGCTCAAAGATTATAGTGTACATGAAGGTCGTCCGTCCAACGAATCTCATGCTATGCAGTTGGTACTAAATCAAGAACAGAATTTACAAACCAAAATAAAATATAAAAGGAGAAGATTTTTTACATCAGATCGTGATTTCGTTCGAATCAGACAGTTCGTTATGCTCTTTCGAAGAAATCTGTGACACGCATCCAGTTATTGAATGCATCAACTCCCTCCGCCGAAGCAAGAGCCCAGGATACGCTGGAATCAGAGTTCTGTGCCCTGTGGATATGAGCTTGGTATTGCCCGAGGTGACAATAGAAAAAGTGGTCGGGGGACTTCTCTCCTTTCCCTCGCAATGGAGAGTTCTAAGTGTGGAGCTGGAGCTGCACAGGCAGCTTTGACAAGCGCGTCGGCTGCTTCGTTCCCGAGAATACCTGCGTGGCTTGGGCACCATTGGATAGCCACTTTCCCAGGCGTCGTATTTTGACCGCGTGATCTTCTTTTCCAGTTCATTGCGAGCTTGCGAAAGATTAATATTTTTGCCGAGCTGGACGCTGTGGGCGTATCCAAGAGCAGACGGATGGCAGCCTCCTGGTTGTCAAAGCAGGCAGTGACGTTAGAGGCATAATAGGCCAGTGGGTTGCGAAGAGCTGCGGCAAGACCTTCAGTGGCCCCGGCAATTTCTGCATCATACACTTCTGCCAAGTTTTCGAGCGGGAGTGATCCTCGTTCAATCTCCTGCGTAAGACCTCGGTAGATAACATAGCCCGCACCTGCTCGGTCTTCTATTAGAGCTCCGTGTCACGGTTTCGAGGGACAAGTGCTGGGGCAACTATGTGGTCGATGGTAGTAAATAATAATTCTAAGGAGAGAACTTCCACTACATCTATCTATTCATTTATATACGTGAAAGCCTCCTCGCCACCAAGGCTAATCCCTCTCCTGTTCCTATGCTATGGGACTCCTCTAGTGTTCTGACTATGCCTGTAATACAGCACTATCGCGTTATGGTCCGGAAGGATTGTACTCGGTCTCGTATATTCCCAGTCAGTGTAAGCCTATCAACATGTGGTGCAGTGCCGTACTGCCGTGCCGCACTGCCGAGTCCGATGCCATGTGAATACCATGCAAATGCCGACGCAAAAGTATTGTATTGGGTGGCGTCGCATATTAGCGCATTGGTAGCCATTAATAACGCCACTCGAATCAGGCCTAAGTTAACCAACATAGGCTACAGGGACCAATCGGCTTACCAGCCGTTACACTCCGTCTGAGAAACGAACAAGCCAAGGGTAGGTCGTGTAGCCTGCCACTGTTTGAAGGGATTTGGTCCCAGGAGTCTACCTACCGCACCAATTTCGATGAGCTTTTCTTCACGGAATGACGACCACGGTAGAGGGATGATGTCCTCGGAAAGTTCTGGCGAGATTCTTTGACGGATCCAGTGCATGCGACAGGTGTTCCATCGTCTTCGAAGAGGGTGGTAGGGGTCAGCTACAGCGATTCGAGCCGCTAGATGACTGTGAATTCGGGAGAGCCACGTTTGGGCCCCAGCCAGCTTCTCGTAGAAGTGCTGCTATTGGTGTTGTACGACAGACCGGGAGGGCTGCCCGAGCCGCGTCGTTCATCCTGTGTTGGAGTCGCGATATTGTCTTTTGAGATGTCTCTTTGGAGTACCAAGTCTCGGTCCCATGGAAAAGGGTCGCAAATGCGGCATCATGCAGAGCTTGTCGTAGAAAAAGAGGGCTAATTCCTCGAGTAGTGGTTGAGAGTCTTTTCAAATGGCTCGTGATATCTTGAGACTTTTTGCAAGCCTGTAGGGTATGAAATTGGAATCGGAGCGCACGGTCAAAGAATATTCCTAGCCAGCGTGTATGATCATTGGGCGTTATGATTGTCCCTCCCATATTTAGAGCAGGCTCTACTGGTGATCCTCGCTTCTGTTGAAAGTATTGCAGCTCAGTCTTAGGAAGTTCGAAAATAATTCCGTTAATAAGTCCCCATGCTATGGTGCTTTCTATTTTCTCCTGGAGTTTGGGTGCACACTCGACAAGTGAGGGCTAAAGATATCATTGAGTGGACTAAGTAAATGTGTTTGTAGGTAGTATCACGTGATCAAGTTTTCCAGTAAAAAGTTTTAACAATATCAACTTATAACGATTCGGCACTGTAGTGACTAACCATTTCTCATCTAAATTTACTATACACCGGGGACTGCAGTGCGTGAAGCTACAGACGCATTCGAGGCATGCCTAGAGAAGATGTTTATTGTTAGGCGCCTCAGGTGAATTAAATGGCAAGTGAGTTCTGAATTTGAGAGTGGATCTGCATTAACCCATACACTGGACAAGCCTTTGGTAGGAGTCAAAATATTATTGAGCGAAAGATTGCCGTGGTATGGAGGCCTGAGTCATCACCTCATGGGCCCACACCTCTGATATTGCGAAATATGACGCGCAGCTTCTTGGAGAACATGATGGACAGATATTCAGTCTTTGTTTGCAGGAATCGCCCGCCTACTTTCCAACCTCCGAAAGCGAGGATGAGGGGCAATTAGTTTCCTGCCAAATGCCTGGATGCCATGCGGTGCCTATTCCTCACTGTCCTTTGGCCGGTCTATACAACTGTAATAACGTTTGCAGACACCAACCTCGGCTTGACACATTGCATGTCACTGTTAAGCTACATGACTCCATGACTAATTATTTGATGCTTTTTTAGTGGAAATTAACAATTAATGAAAAGGGTTGGCTAATGTATTTCCTGATAAGAAACGGCCTTCTGTCTCTTGGGTAGTCTCCACACAGGGAGCTCAATTATTGATTCCTCCATTTGGCCTGTAATATGCTCCATCCAAGAGGCATTTATTATCATGCAAAACTTATGGATCAGTGTGCTTAGAATACCTTTGAGGCTTTTTCAAAGAATCTTACATTTATATTCTCAATATCTTCCACCTAAATTCATCCTCACAACCTCATCATTCAGCTCAATATCATCCCATCCAAACATCAGCAACTTTACGTAATCAATGATGATGCACTTATTCTTGACAGGCGTGGCCCTGAAAGTAATCCTCCTCATTGTAAACTTGTCTTCGCTCTCTGAGGGGCGAGGTTTCCGGTGCAACGCAGGAGAAATTGTTGATCAAGACCTTGAATCCATCCGTCAACTCGCCTGCAATAGCTTGAAAACAGGCGATGCAAAGTCTTCAGTAGATGTTAATTCCCAGGGCAACCAAAAAGTTGGCTTCGAGTGGAAGCTGCCCAAACCTTTGACTATAGAACAATTTGATGGTAATTCTTACTCTGCGAAAATCACCATGTCTCGGCTGCAAAGTCTAACTCTAATTACTTCTAGGTGGAATGATTACGCAGCTACAGCTCACCGACAATTGCGAAATCACGTCCATCACTGTCTCAAGCAAAGGAAATGAAAGCCAAGTCTGCCCAAGAGAAATGGCTATCCATAAACGTCAAGATACAATATTGGAATGTAATGATGTGCAATTCTACAGTCATGGTCTGACTAGATCCGCCGCCAAATACTGTAACAATAAGAGAGTTAAGTTAGACGACGTCCTTGCATTTCCCGCAGACTACACCCCAAAAATTTTTAGTACTGTAGATGAGTATATGGCAGAAGTAGATGATTTCAATAAAGTCCATGAACGTGGTAAGCAGCCTCCTCTTTCCAGATATCTCACCTTTGACTAAGCTTCTATCTAGATCTCTACACATTGTCGTATATGGTCTTTGATAAAAAGTGCAGTATTATAGGGGCCATTGTTTATAAAGATTATACATTTCGAGCCTGTTCGTTTAATGTGGTTATTGATTGATAGTTTTATGATATAAACTCTCCCAGCCAATCACACATGCTGTATTAGATGATATAGAGACCTATACAAGATGTGGTCGGTGTAGGGACATTATGGGCAGTTGCATGTCGATGATATGCACGAGAATGTAGACTATTCCATAGCATATGATGGAGTATCTTAGTATCCTTATTCTCTTGTCCTTGGTTACTGCTAGAATTACGAACTCTAACCTTGCCTGATATAGCTCACACTCCTCAGTAGTCCTCCCAAACGCTACCTTTGGCATCCTCGAGTTTGACAGAAGGTATAAAATGTGTACTGGCACTGGATATAGTGAACTATGAAGGAGGCACTTGATGCGGATTCCAACCTCTATAAATTGCCATGGATGACGTGACCTATGACATCACTTACAAAGCTCCCTCGACTCGGCACGTGAAGAGATTGTGTTGTGCATGATTAGCGTCTGTGCACCAGCCGACAATGTCCACCCTTTCTTGAAGCAGCAGCCTTTCCCTTGTGTGCGAACAATTCAGACGAGCTAGCACAACACTCTCCCTGGTGGTGAGCACGTCCTACCATCTTGAGCGAGGTGGGGCCCATGGTCCGTCTCCAGGTGGTCTTCTCTACTATAGTTTGAGTAGCCTGGCACCTACTCCACTTACGAAGGAGACGCTTCAAACCACATCTCGTGCGGAGAAAGTCAGTGGATGATAGAGGCATATCTGGATAACCCAGGGTTTCTGAGACGTTCCCCTGAGTGGATATCTACGGACGAGGGTTGGCTTGGGGTGAAGAAAATGCCGCCACAACTTCGCAGTGGTGAGGACCCCGAACTCTCTGTCCGAGCGCAACGCCGGGTTTCAAGACTGAATCGAGAATGCACCCATCGCATTCTTTGGTCACAATCCAAGCGGCTAAGCGCTCAAACGTTCCCTACTGTAATCTGATAGTTTACTTTGCCATGAATTATTGATCATTACATCATCTGGAGAATGGGAAATTTTATATTAATGTTGAGCAAAGTTATACCAATATGAATCTCTCAGAGTTGATTGAATTGATTGTCCTTTCTGCGGATGCTATCTTAGTTCTTAAATATATCTTTAGATTATTCTCATAATTCCGCCCAAAATTCAGATACAGCCCAGCAATTACAGTTATTTATGCAAACAGCTCGTATTTCCCTTCTTTACATGCTTCTAAAATTGGTCCTGTTTGTTCCCTAAATAGCAAATTATAAGTGGACAGTATAACCAAGCATAGTAAAATTAATGCTGTTTAATAGGAGATTAAGTGACTCGATTGTAATGACAAAATACAAATGCTAGCAGAATTATGCATAGGTAGGTGGGAATCTATCTAATAACACATGCATGACTCGAATATAGCCAGTGACGCTTTAATCTCGTATTCCAATTGTATACAACTAAACAATCTTTAATAAAGGTGATTCTTTATTTAGATGTTATGATATGTTATTCGACATCAAGCAACCGTCTGTTTACATCGGCAAATTTTAATTCCTCCTTGGTCGAAAGATTGTCAATGATATTGCTGAATAATGCGGGAAGAGAGAGGAATAGGTACATGACTTTGACTTGCTCAACGGTAAGGAAACTTCTCAGTGCAATTGCTTATGGTCGCGAGGAATTGGAACAGCGTAAGTATACATGAGCATATGCGCTTTCAAATTGGGAAATATGTTGAGAGATTGACTCTCCATCAACTATTTTCAATTTACTGAACTCCTTGAATAGTTGAATGGTGGCGGTCGTTGTTTCGTAGTCATATTTTTCTTTTAGAAGTCGCATTGCAACTCGTGCTGACTCAGGTTCCTCGTCGCAAAAACACACAAGCTCTTGGAGATCTTCCGATACTCCGACCAGAAGAGCAGAATGGGCAGAATCATTTCTATCGTTGTAGTGTTCGAGACGTATGTTGAACTTATCTTCGTCCTCTTTATCACCTCGGACTGGTAGTGATTCTTTCTTATCATCGTCGCAAACTACTGAACATAGATTTGCCCCTCGGTGTCACGGTTTCAGTACAAAATGCCTGGGCGATCTTGTAAGTACAGCATATTAATTATAATTCTCTAGAGAGAGAATTCCTATGGCTAGAATACAAATACATATACTCTGAGATACTCCTCTTCTGTAAGGCTCTCCCTATATCTAGAATAACATGGACTCCTCGACAATACCCTAGAAGATTCTTGATACACCTGTTTTCCATGTGAACCTTCAGTATGCTTCCAGAAGGTTCATTGAATATCTTCTAAGCTCCTTGTATTCCGAGATCCTTCCCGAAGATTGCCTTGCATTCATTGCCTGCGCTAGCCAGCTTAGGCTACAGGAATCCCTAGGCTTAACAGCCGTAACACGGTGGCTGACATTGTGTAGATTTTCTGAAAACGGAAGATGGTGCAAACCCGGGCTTATAACCAATTAGAATGGTTCCGGAGATTGGAAGAATTATACACTAGCCTCGAGTTTGATTTAGAGATACTATAAATGTGTTTACTATACGAAGAAGTTTACTGATATTTAATGGATAGTCAATTGTGATTAAATTGCTAAAATTCTACATGTATGGCGAGAAGTCCCTCTATATACATGAAAGCGGGGTTTTCCGCACACTAGTGTGAACTCCAACATACTTCCTAATCTAACCTAAATGGGCAGGTTTTTGGAGATCCTGAAGGCCATTGTATGCCGTCTGGCATCTATTGCCTAATTACTATTCATGCCAGTGAGTGATGATATGGGTTAATCATATCTCATGGCGCCAGTGCATATTATTCTAATATGTACTATTTATCTACTGCAGTCATGTTGCTGCCTTCATTAAAACAAACACCACCTCTTTGACCTATGTCTACGCCCTGCTGTCTACATGCTGCTCTGACCCCGCCCCCCAAACTCAGAGCCTTAATTGAGGTTGAGGAACGATGGGCTGCAAAAACGGCGGAAAATGTAAAATTTGTACGGCTGCAATAAACGGTGTCGAGAATGCTGTCTCCCCCCCATCCAGAGGGTCGAGTGTTCAATTTATAGACTCTATGAAAGTCTACATCAGAGCTGCAATAGCTCAATTCATGACCACGGGACCAGGTACAATCTTCCCATCACTTCCCCCACGCTCCGAAAGCCAGACGACTAGTTACAAGACCGCAGAATGTGCTGCTGGTAATCAAAGTGAGCCATAACGCAAAGCGATTCAAGCCGAAGTGCGCAAGGCCAAAACCACTTGGGCCTCGATCACCCGGAATGGCCTACAGACGCTCCTGGCACCAACATAAATCGCGCAGACAATGCCCAAGGCGGCAAACTTGACTCGAATGGCCCAAAATTCAACCGGGCCAACAAAACCGGCCGGGCAAGACGAACGTTTGTTTCTCCGCCTCGAAAAAGAACATCCCTGGCGAACACTCTCACCTTTCGGTGTTAGAGAAGCAATTACGCAAATGCTCGAAATTCCCCAAACAAAAATTTAGCATGTCTATCATATGCAAAATGGCTTCACAATCAGAGCCGAAAGCCAAGAGGCTACGCGCTGATGCTAAGCCTAGCTGGATACTTCGCCAAGCAGGATGTCATACTGGAGAAAGCCTCGGACTTGGCTTCCCCTAGAATAGTAACGGTCCCAGTTGTAATTAACATAGTAGTGGGCAAATTTCTCATCACAGCAAAGATGGTGGCCGACGAGTGTCACGGCTCGAGTGTCGATGCTGGAGCAATCAGATCTACGAAGGTAGTTTATCATTTTCTCTGTGCCTATCTATACTGTTGTAATGGAAGTTGTATAGAGAAGCGTAAGTTGTTAGGCTTGTATTTAATATCACCTAGTGAAGCGAGTTGGGAGATTGAAGAGTCTGAAAACTATAGTGGAGAGTTGTTGGTTAGACCAACTTAGTATCAGAGCGCTATTTAAACTAATTACTACATCTAAGTGTAGGACACGATTCACTTGTTTATGCTAAATAATTGGGAGGCTGGTCAATGTATGAGTCGCCATGAATGTGGCTAGTAATAATAGAACCTTATTACGTTCCGTATTAATGCGACTCTTCATTGCCAAGTAGCGCCAATTTCAACACCCCTTCTCACTTTGTACCGAAGATGCTAGTGCACAAGTGCAAAAACCTTGGTTTAGGTAGACCTTTTGTACACATATCCGCAAGATTTTGAGTTGACGGAATGTGTAGTAAGGTGAGCGTTCCATCTTCAAGTCGCTCTCTGGTGAAATGATAAGCGATGTCAATATACTTTGTTGCATCATTGAGCTTCGGATTATGTGCTAGATCAAAAGCCGAATTGTTATTGGTTGACAGAGAAGTAGGTATATTTTTATCCAATATTTGGTTAAGTCCTCTTACAATCTAAAGGAATTGTTTCATTGCAACTGACAGTACCATATACTCAGCTTCACAAGTGGAGTGAGCAACAGTACATTGTTTGCGAGACTTCCAGCAGATTGTGGATTGACTAAGTTGGAATAAATAACCAGAGAAACTTCAACGTGTATCGAGACAATTTCCGTATGATGCGTCACAGTATCTATTGAGAGACAGGGGAGATTCAAATTTGTATAACAAACCGACATCTTTTGTCCCCTTGATATATCTTAGAACTCGCTTGGTAGCACTTAGATGAGTGACAGATGGATCTGAGTTAAATTGAGAGAGGTGAGAGATTGTATCTGCAAGATCAGGTCTAGTAGCAGATATGATATACATTATAGATCCAATTATTTGTAGATACAGAGTTGCATTGGCCCTAGGTTCTCCATTTTGCGTCGCCTTAAATGGTTGGTTACACTCTTTAGGCGTGGAGACTGTATTGCAATCTTGCATCGAAAACCTTTCAAGGATTCTTTTTACGTAAGCAGACTGCAATAGAGTGATTCCTACATCCAAGTACTCAATCTGAATTCCAAGTAGCCAGTGAAGAGTTCCCATATCCTTAACCTTGAATTCGGCCTTGAAGTGGTTTACTAAATCTTCGATGAGCTCC